GACTTACTAGGGAGGCAGTTGCTGCTCACTCCTCAACCTGAAGTCGAGACAACTGGCTGCATCCGTCGAGACAACCGGCTGCATCCGCCGACCCAAAGCGACACAGGCCTGACCGGGCCCCAGGAACGTTTACAAGGTAACGAGCAGCCAGGACCCTGTTCGACTGCCAAAATCCCCGCGCCCTATCGTCAGCCCAAGACATATTGCCAAAGACGGTGGCAAGAGCCACGAATTTGCGGACGTCATGGGCATAGGAATAGACCGCAGGCTGGCTAGCCTTAATTACCCTGCGGACGACCTGGGAGACCCGCACCTTCGAACAGGGAAGAAGGGAAACTGGATCAACCCAAAGTGCATCCATGGACACAGAAGCCATGGCACGCAAATAATGGCGGAGAGCTGCTACTGGACGCAAAACATGATGCACCCCCGGCCGAACCAACCAACCAACAACAACCCAAGGGCCCCTCCGGAATGCAGCAGTCTCATTCTTCGCCAGAAAAGAAGGAGAAGGCTGCAGACGAACAAAACGATCACCCTGACTGAAGGAGCAGAAACCTCTGCGCCGGAGGAGAACATGTTCACCCAACCGACCCCCAGAGGCCAATGTCAACAGGAAAAGAGCCTTCGAAAAACAATCCGGAACCAAAGGGGCCACAACAAAACGAGGAGAAGAAAGAAAGGAGAGCACTCTGTCCAAAGACCAGGACGGCTCAGGCGGAGCATGAGCAGGCAGGAGGTGAAACAACGCCAGAGACAGCTTGCGAAACGGCGCAGACGTGACATCAATACCTAAAGCAAGTTGAAGTGGCTCTGCCAGTGCCGCATGATACGAGGGGACAGTGTTAGGCATAAGAAAACGGTCCTGGAACAACCATGAAAGAAAAGACAACACCACCCTAACAGAAAGCGAAGTATAATGACGAAGACGTAAGAAGAACCGGAAGGACCGCCAGGAAACTTCATACTGCCGCCAAGACGAAGCCCGCAGGTGGGACACTAATAAGGAAGCCACTTAATCACCATAGAGATGATGATAAACTCGAGTCAAAAATACCATACGCAAAGACTCGAGGAGAAGATCGAACTAGCCACGTGACGTACCGGGCCGATCTGTTGGACGAGGTGGAGCCTCGGAAAAACCTCCGGGTTCGGACACCGAGCAAGCAGCACCTGAAACCACAGCTGGGCCAGCCACCAAGGGGCTAAGAGGACAACTCTCCCCTGGTAAGTCTCTAAGCGAGTCAGGAGTTGGAGCAACAGCTGAACCGGAGGAAAAGAGGTACAGGAACCCCCACCTCAACCAGTCCTGCCAAAAGGCGTCAACCCTGATGGCCTCGCAGTCGGGAAAGGGCACCACATACAGGGAAAGGCGCCGCAACCACGCCGACGCAAAGATGTCCACCTCAGGGCGTCCGAACGTCTGGCAAAGCCAACGGAAGGAGTCGGCGTCGACCGTCCATTCCGTGGAGAGGGGAACCAAACGAGACAGGCCGTCGGCCAACACGTTGGACACTCCCCGCACGTGAACTGCGAGGAGAGCCAAACCCCGAAAACACAGCAGACGAGTCACCCGAAGCGACCAGCGCCAAAGAGCCAAGGACCGCATCGAACCCCCCAGTTCAGACAATGAACCATCAGGGAGCAGTCCGAATGGTCGACTCGAATCCTCCGAAGAGCAAACCACACTGCCACGAACTCAAGCACAGTGCTGTGGGCTCGACGGAAGGACGGACCCTACCGACCCTGGCCGACCTGGTGAGCACTGGTCACAAAGCCCCAGCCGAGAGACGACGCGTCCGTGAACACATCAAGCGATCTGTTTTCGAGCTGTTTCTTTGTTCTGTGTGCTTGCAAATAATGCACTCACGTACATCCTTGGCTTTAGTACCTGTTGGTGGTGTGTAACCAAGCTTGTGAAGCATAAGGTAGTCTCGATAAGATTAGAGGGAAGATCAGTTTGTAACGTGGGGTTGAAAAGATTGCTTTGTAAGGTCCCTCACTGGAAGAAATTCAGTCATTCTTGAAGAGATTCAGTCAGTTAGGAAGAGATTCAGCCATTCTGGAAGTGATTCAGATATTCTTGAAAATATCTATGGAAAACACCACCATGGAAGCCACTAACACTGTTCATCTATGCTACTTGTATCAGATACATCTTCACTGAACCAAGAAAATGATTCATCTATGTATCATCCATAAAAATTGGAAATGGCATAGGTGGGCAAGGGTGGCGCTCAGAGCTACAACTGGATACGCTTGCTGTATCGTCCTCATCGGTGCTGTATCACTTACATCCGACCTTTGTTTTAGGTTCTTATTGCGCTTAGCTTGATCAATATCATGACCCTTATGTTCTTCAAACAATAAGATCTGAATTTCACCGAAAGAGAGATATCTTTCAACACTGCGTCGAAGAGGTGTTTGGGAGCCAGAGGCGCGATGCACCACCCATGGTTGCTCATCCAGTACTAACCCAGCCAGCAGCCCTAGGGCATTCTGGGAATTTTGTCCAAGATGGCTGCCTCTTACTGGAGGTCCCAAGAGTGAATTTCGTACACAATCTACATTGCACGCATTTTGAATGGGTACAAAATTTTCAAAAGGTGTTTTCTCGGTTGGCGCAGCGCAGAGGTAAAGCAAGGCAGACGAAGCTGAACACCTCACTGCGAGACCCCACAACCTTCTCAAGCCAATCAAAAGTCAGCTAATAGAGACACAAGAACCTCACGACAGAAGCCAAGTGTGAAAGTCCGAAAATCGCCAGTGACCAAAGCCTCCGAAAGGAGAGCAACTTGAGCATGCAGCCTCAAAAGACCTACATCATGGGAAGAGGCGAAGAGGCAAGAATTGAGGTACTCAAGAAAGCCCCCATAAAAACCTGCAACACAGGAGACACATGCCGCTAATCAAGCGCATGGGTACTGCAAAAGCTAGCCCAAACTACCAGTGAAAACAAAGGACAGTCTGCTGGCCAGGATGACTTCGGAACCTTGTACCACACCCAACGTGGGGAAAAGAGAACTGAACTCAGAAGAGGCCGGGTCCACGACCGAGGTGTAAACCGGGTCACGCAGTAGGTACGCTCCAAGGGCCTGCTAAGCCTCTACTGAGGGAACCCAGGAGGAAGGAAACCTCCGGGAAGACAAATCCAAGGTGCCCAAAGGCACTAGGAAATGAACCCCTGGGAAAAGCCCTGCCTAACTCAAACTCATAGAGAGAAGAAGGACAAGAAAATCCTACACCCTGCAACAAAAGACCCTCCGGAGAAGGCACAAAGGCCAACAAAGGGTAAAAAGGAAACAAAGAGGTCCAATTAAACTCCCCACAATCCCCGGGAGTTGCATGTAAGGGCTGCAGGGAAGAGCACTCTCCTCCGCTCACTGCCAGGGAAGGGAAGACAGAGACCAAAGGAAAAGCTTCCACAGAAGGAGACGGCTAGGAAGACTCAGAAGCTTCAGCAAGAAAGAACGACTCACCTTCCTTCGCACCCGAAATGGAAGGACCAACCCCCAGATCTGCCCAAACTACATCCTGAGGTAAACCCTGCCCCGATTCTGAAACCCTCAGATGTTTCAGAGCCGGATGTAGAGAGGAGGAGAAGGGCGAACAAAGCCCACCAGGGAGGGAAGAGGGGGTGCAGATGGAAATAATGTAGAGTGAACTAATACCCCCAATTCCAAGTCCCTAAAACACAAACAGGGCAGATCTGGAGAAGCCAACCGGGCCCACAACCTAGAGCGTTGCAAGACCGGAAACCGGCAATGCAAGGCATGAGCTGCTTCAAACTTCTGAGTATCTAGAGAAGTCCAGATTGTGAGCACATGAGAGAAACAAGTTCCACATGAGTCTGGGTCATAGGTGTCACCGACCCAACAAGCAGCATGACAGAGGCGGAAAGAATGAGCGTCTCCAAGTGACACCAGCAACTAACAACTCTCAAATTCGTACAAGGCGTGAGCAGGCTCGGAAAAGATATCCATGGTACACCCAAGCCCGTGGGGTTTTTCCGGGGCCTGCAGGGTAAATTAGTCCTACAGGAAGCCCAGGCACTGGGGTCCACAACACTGGTAAACCCTGTCATGGAGACAACCAGACTCCCCACAGCCTAAGGAAAAGTCAAGGGGGCAGCAAGGGAGTTCTACTGCTAACACTCTAGGCAGGCCTAATAAAGAGAAAGATAGGACCCCCAAGCAAACAACTAAAGAACCCAAAGAAAAGTATAAAATAAAAGCCTCAATATAGACCACAGTGAACAAGCAACATGGGAGAAACATTGGCATGCCCATAAGCAGCTTGTGGAAAATGCAGGCTATGCTAACCGCAGTGTGCGCCACCGACCAAAACGCCCCCAAACCGCAGACAAGACAGAAAGCACAAGAACCCTGGCTTACCTTAAGGGTGAGGACCACCCTAAGCGAGGAGGGGTGTACACTCCTAAACCCCTAGGCACATTCCTAAAGGAAATGTGCCCTCAATGCCCCAGGGAAGAAAACTCTGACAGCAGAAGGATAGTACTGACAGAGCACACAGGGAAAGAAACCTCTCTAGTTAGCTCCACCTGTACCCCAACGAGGGGGGCAGGTGGAGCTAACTAGCAGGGGGGGGATTAGTTTAAGTAAGTTATGGTTGTTTCTTTTCTTCTTGAGGGGAGGGGGGGGGGGTTCTTTTTGGCATTTTGGGGGCTTTGGTTGCATATTTAAACCAGGCATTGGTTTGTTTTGATTTGCCTATCTTTTTGAGTGCTTCCCTAATGATGGCAGATATGATATCCTTTAAATGTAAAGTAATCATAGGCCATCACTCCCTGTGCCAGGTTTTGGCTCGTGGTCCCCTGTAAACAAAAGAACTCTGCAACTGTAGACATTAGGTAGTATAGCATTTAATCAGTGAGGTCACATTGGCTTCAGGGAGCCGTTGGGACTTCCCACAGAAAGAAGAAAATATTCCAATTAGGTACTTTATCTCATAAAGGCTTTATAAAGTTTCTAAAAACCAACCTTCAGTAAGTATTCAGTAGCAGCAGACAGGACAGTGAAGGCAGTTCCAGAATTTAGTGACTCCTCTGTGTTCTGAGTGACAATAAGGCATCCCAGAGTCCCTACCATGCGTGCAAGGTTGGCTCTCACACTGGCTACGGAACAAACCACTCCAGCTTCAAAGATCAACTGCAAAATGAGGGGAACAACATTTTATTGTACTGATTTGGTTCATATGATTCATTCACGTACATTCATGTACATTCATGTACATTCACGTACATTCATGTACATTCATGTACATATGATACATATGATTTTGGTACATTATTCATTTTTGTTGGAGAAAGTAATACATAAGTTTGTAAGATGTGTTGATTTACATTGTGTAAGTTTTCAGTTAAAAAACCAGCATTGAATGTAATGAAATACCAATTTCTTAGTGAGCCCCTTGAAGCTATACATTGAGATGGTTTCCATCTACCAGGTCACATCAGTCATGGAGTTCTTAGGCCTCCCAGGTACTAGCGCCAGGACCTGGCCCCCCCCCCCCCCCTTGCTGGGAGCAGTGACATTTTGCCAACAAAATCAGCAAAACTGCCATGAAAGTCAATGAGATGAAACAAACCACTGCTGTGTTCAAAAGAGACTGAAGCCACAAAACCTGCCAAATGAACTCCCACAACTATGCAAACAAAAGATCAAATCTCTCAGAACTAGCATGAGCTCGTGTGCTCCACCTCCCTCGACCATTTTGGGAAAACGCTATCAGTTCTGGAGCAGATGCAAAAAAACAAAAACAAAAAAACACCTAGAAGGAATGGAAGGAAGGAGAGGGATCAGGAAGCCACTGGGACTCAACCACAAGTTAGTGTTTTGTAGGTGGGCACCCCTTGGCACTCCCTGAAGCTACTATGCTGATTCAGTGCCTGTTACAAAACAGTATTTACCTGATTTCTCACTATTTTAATGTATGCATAATTATACATTCATCAAACCTCATTTTACTATGTACTGCACTGGTTCGCTAATCCGGACTATAGAGAAGGAACCCGTGCCAGATGATCCGGTTTTCCGGATCAAAGGACGTTTCACTGCATCCAAAAGGGAACATTTCCAAAAAATGTTTGTACCACAACCAACAAATTTTGAATTTCCACACACTATAATTAGTGAGTGGGGCTGGGTGGGTGGTTAGCTGCCTGGCTGGTAGGTGGGCAGGGCAAGTTGGCGGGCAGGCAGGTGGGTGACTGGGCAGGTTGGATGGGTGGATGGCATTCAGATGGGATTGGTGGTTGAGAGGTGAGTGGGCAGGAAGGGGGGTGGGTGGGCAGGCAGAGATGGGTTTTGGTTCAGGCAGGCACGAGACAACACTGGACACACACAGATCACACGTCTCTCATTCCTGTTCATCACCCCCCCCTTCCACCTCACGCAAGCACTTCCCAATTCACCCCCACGAGTTCAACACGGGGGTGTTGACACTCGTGCTTGTCATGCCCTTTAAGAAGACCTGGACAAAATAAGTACATGGAGCGCCATGGGCAAATGGAATTTAATGTTAATAAATGCCATGTTATGGAATGTGGAATAGGAGAACATAGACCCCACACAACTTATATATTATGTGAGAAATCTTTAAAGAATTCTGATAAAGAAAGAGATCTAGGGGTGGTTCTAGATAGAAAACTATCACCTGAGGACCACATAAAGAATATTGTGCAAGGAGCCTATGCTATGCTTTCTAACTTCAGAATTGCTTTTAAATACATGGATGGCGATATACTAAAGAAATTGTTCACGACTTTTGTTAGGCCAAAGCTAGAATATGCAGCGGTTGTGTGGTGCCCATATCTTAAGAAGCACATCAACAAACTTGGAAAAGATGCAAAGACATGCTACTAAGTGGGTCCCAGAACTGAAGGGCAAGAGCTACGAGGAGAGGTTAGAGGCATTAAATATGCCAAAACTAGAAGACAGAAGAAAAAGAGGTGATATGATCACTACATACAAAATAGTAACAGGAATTGATAAAATCGATAGGGAAGATTTCCCGAGACCTGGAACTTTAAGAACAAGAGGTCATAGATATAAACTAGCTAAACACAGATGCCGAAGAAATATAAGAAAATTCACTTTCGCAAACAGAGTGGTAGACGGTTGGAACAAGTTAGGGGAGAAGGTGGTGGAGGCCAAGACCGTCAGTAGTTTCAAAGCGTTATATGACAAAGAGTGCTGGGAAGACGGGACACCACGAGCGTAGCTCTCATCCTGTAACTACACTTAGGTAATTACACTGTATGATGACTTTTAACATAGGCACCTCAAGTTCTGTTAAAACCGGCGTAGAATGTAATGAAACATAATTTTCTGGGTAAGACCCGGAGGCTCCCTGGAGCTATTCAAGCTGATATGAATGTATTAGAGTCTGGCATCAATCAATACACATGGAGTTCTAGGACTACTGGGGGACCACACGCTAGAAACTGGGGTCCCTGAGAGAGGCACGAGGAACAATGGACTCCAGAAACCCACGTCTGGTTGGAAGCACTCTATGTCTGCCATCGACCGGGTCAGGCACCCAGAAAAGTAAGCACTCCAAAACAAACCCCTTTTCTGGTGAAAATATTACTACTGAAGGCCGTACTAGTGGACAAAACTCCCCAAATGAAAACGAGCAAATGAGCATGACGTCACCACGCCACTGTCTGTGCAACCCCCCCCCCTCTCCCTGGGAGGGGGAAGGGGGAGTCCCAGACCCCCACACCAGCTATCCACCCTGCAGTTCTGAGGCTGGATGAGAAAATGCCATTTCATTACATTCAAGGCTGGATTTCTGAGGGGAGCCCCTTCCGCTCCCGGGAACTACTTACCCAAAGACAAAACAAGAAGGACTTACCCGGGAGGCGGTCAGCCCTCGCTCCTCAATGCGAATTTGAGACAACTGGCTGCAACTGCTGACTTAATGTGACACATGAGAAAATACTAAAAGAAATAGAAAGATGGAGAAAAACTAAAGAAATTGTTCACGACTTTTGTTAGACCAAAGCTGGAATATGCAGCAGTTGTATGGTGCCAATATCTTAAGAAGCACATCAACAAACTGGAAAAGGTGCAAAGACATGCCACTAAGTGACTCCCAGAACTGAAGGACAGGTACTACGAGGAGAGGTTAGAGCATTAAATATGCAAAAACTAGAAGACAGAAGAAAAAGAGGCGATATGATCACTACGTACAAAATAGTAACAGGAATCGATAAAATTGATAGGGAAGAATTCCTGAGACCCGGAACGTCAAGAACAAGAGGTCATAGATTTAAACTAATGAAGCAAAGCTGCCAGAGAAATATAAGAAACTTCACTTTTGTAAACAGAGTGGTAGATGGTTGGAACAAGTTAGATGAGAAGGTGGTGGAGGCCAAAATCATCAGTAATTTCAAAGCGTTATATGAAAAAGTGTGCTGGGAAGATGGGGCACCACGAGCGTAGCTCTCATCCTGTAACTACACTTAGGTAATTACAGGCCCGACTAGGCCCAGGAACCTGCAACCGCTGACCCAAAGCGACACAGTCCTTACAAGGCCCAGGAATATTTACAAGTCAGCAAGTGGCCAAGACCCTGTTCAACCTCCAAAAAATCCGTGCCTGAATATAAGCCCAAGACATTTGACCAAAAACGGCACCCAGTGCAGCAAACTTACAAACGTCGGGCACAAGGATGGACCGCAGGCTGGCTGGACCGAATAATCCTGCAGATGACCTGGGAGATCCAAACCATGGAACAGGGAAGAAGGAAAACTGGGTCAACCTAAAGTGCATCCCCGGCCACCAAGGCCATGGCGCACAGGTAACGGTGGAGAGTCGCAATAACAAAACACATGATGCATTCCCGGCCGGACCTACCAAGCATCAAAAACCCAAGGACCCCTCCTGAAATCAGCATTCAGCCGACTTATTCTTAACCAGAAAAGAAGGAGACGGCTGCAAACGAACAAACCTACCACCAGGACCAAAAGAGCAGAAACCCCTGCGCCGGAGGAGAATATGAAGGTCCGTGACCCGACCACCCAGAGGCCAATGCAAACAGAAAAATAATCTTGGAACAACAATCCTGAACCGAAGGGGCCTCCACAAACCTGAGAAGAGAGAAAGGAGAGCACCCGGTCCAGTGACCAGGATGGTACAGGCGGCGCATATGCAGGCTGGAGGTGAAACAACGCATGAGATAGCTCGCAAAATGGCGCAGAAATAACATCAATGCCGAATGCAAGCTGCAGGTGGCAACGCAAGTTGCAGGCGGCAACGCCAGCGCCACACGATACGAGGAGACAGTATTCGGCATACCTTGCCTTACCTTGAGATTATCTTGAGGTGCTTCCAGGGCTCAGCGTCCCCGCAGCATGGTCGTCGACCAGGCCTCCTGGTTGCTGGACTGATCAACCAGGGCTGTTGGACGCGGCTGCTCGCAGCCTGACGTACGAATCACAGCCTGGTTGATCAGGTATCCTTTTGAGGTGCTTATCCAGTTCTCTCTTGAACACTGTGAGGGGTCGGCCAGTTATACTCCTTATGTGTAGTGGAAGCGTGTTGAACAGTCTCGGTCCTCTGATGTTGATAGTTCTCTCTCAGAGTACCAGTTGCACCTCTGATTTTCAACAGGGGTATTCTGCACATCTGGCCATGCCTACTGGTCTCATGTGATGTTATTTCTGTGTGCAGGTTTGGGACCAGCCCCTCTATTATTTTCCACGTGTAAATTATTATGTATCTTTCCTGCCTGCGCTCAAGGGCAGGTTACCTTGAGGTTACCTTGAGGTGCTTCTGGGGCTTAGCGTCCCCATGGCCCAGTCGTCGACCAGGCCTCCTGGTTGCTGGACTGATCAACCAGGCTGTTGGACGCGGCTGCTCGCAGCCTGACGTACGAATCACAGCCTGGTTGATCAGGTATCCTTTGGAGGTGCTTATCCAGTTCTCTCTTGAACACTGTGAGGGGTCGGCCAGTTATGCTCCTTATGTGTAGTGGAAGCGTGTTGAACAGTCTCGGGCCTCTGATGTTGATAGAGTTCTCTCTCAGAGTACCTGTTGCACCTCTGCTTTTCAACAGGGGTATTCTGCACATCCTGCCATGTCTTCTGGTCTCATGTGATGTTATTTCTGTGTGCAGGTTTGGGACCAGCCCCTCTAATATT